AGCGGGGGGGGGGTAGGTATTGTACTTGTTAACATGAAAACTGCTACCTTTTGACACCTAAACTCAGGGTCTAACCTATCTTTGATCAAGCCATAGAATAAAGACACAGAGAGGCAAGCCCAATCTTCCTGAGGCAGGTATAGCTGAAACTTTTCTGAAGATGGTGGTAGCTAGGAAGGTTTGGGCAGTCGTTGAGAAACAGCAGAAAGGTGAAGTTATAGTGGTAGCAAGGACCTATTCAATTGTAGACTGTGGGAGCCATGGCAGAAGGCCCAGAGCATATTATATGTGGTGATGTTGGTGGCTCCAGAAAGGTGCTGAACTTCAGAGAGAAGCCTCTTATCATACTGAGAAGCTACAGTAGAAGCAACCAGGGAAGGCTGGGTGGCCTCACCATTTACTGGGCTCTCAGAGGAGGAGGTGTATGAGTGGAGGAAATTAGTTCCAGGAGAGAGGATTGGCCTACTGGTAAAGTTGGCTGGTTGGTACTGGCCCCAGGGGCTGTACCTAAGGATAGGTCCATAGACCAAGTCATGATTAACAATGAGACATCAAGAGACAGGATGCAGCAATGCCAGAGGATGGAGCAAAGAGTTGGAAGGATGACTTAGGAGAGGACAAAGCAAGAGGCCATAGCTGGAGAAGGAGCCAAGGCAAGCAGGAAGCAAGTACATGGGGAGAGGTGTCGGGATCAGAACAAGCAGTGATGGGGGCAGTATGAGGGCAGAGAGCCTTTATTCCAGGTAAGAATCTTACAGTTACTGCTCCTCAAAAGTGGGGTTTCAAATACAGATGCATTTCCTCAAGGGCAAAGCTGCAACTTTAAACTGGCAGGCTCCTATTAGAGGACACTGCTTAGTTTCAGCCCTTTTCTATAGCTGGACTGGTCTCCATACTACTTTGTCAACATATCACGAGATTTCTGCTTCTGAGTCTTTCCTTGACACATAGGTGCTAAAGCCCACCACTACCACCTGTGTCCATGTTGGATACTGCTAATCAATAGTGGTCCTCTCACTTTATAAGCCTGGAGGCTGTCTCAGAGTTTTTCTTCCCATTGAGGAAGCCACCATATGTCTAAGTACTTGTCATCTCTTCACCACACTTATTAAGTTAATTATTTCTTTTGTGTTATGAGATCCCATCTCTTTTAGGAAAACTTTCCTGACCCTCAAAGTACTTATCTATGTCTGATTGTCTACCAAACTGATTATCAGTCACTCTTGTTTTTAAATTTAGTCACACATTTCCATGGGATATAATTTAGATTCCAATTCAATCTTTTTAAAATCCAATTTTCAAGTATGTACCTCATGGAGTTCTAATTCTATTGGAAGGTCCTCAAGGACAGAGAGAATGTCTTATACCTTTTAATTTTCACCCCTGCAACAAACAATGTCTAGAATGGTTCTGTAATCATAACAAGAGCTGTATGTATGTATACATGGTGTGTGTGTGTGTGTGTGTTAACAAATGGAAGAATTTTAGCTTGGATGAATTCTGCATTTTCTGACCTAAACTTCGGAATCTTCTATCCAAAGGTAGCCCAAAAGACCAATTCAGTTTCAGGGCTTAAGAACATGCTTCCTCAAGTGTAGCATAGGTTCATAGCCTCCTGGACCCTGTGGCACTCAGAGGAAGCTGGAGCCCTCTGTCTGAGTCCCTCTTAGTAGTTAAAAAAAAAAAAAAGGGCTCAGTTGTAAGTTTCCTGGCAATCAGGGGACATTAGATAATCTGCCATACCCATTTGTGTATAATGCCTGATAAAATAAATAGTCTTGAGAAGCAGCTTTACCTATATTGTAAGGTTGGGAGACAAGCTGTGTCTGTGTTGAGTCAGGCTGCAGGACACAGAAGATGCTCACATTTCTTTCAGGAGACACTGAAATAGACAAGCTGATAGAAACGTCGTACAGGTCTGTGAAATTATTTTGAAATATATTCATGATAACATCATACTCGGTAGTTGAATTCTTAGTTTTTAGCACAAAAGACATCTTCTTAGGTTTTGGGTAACCTTGTATAGATGAGCAGGTCAAATTTATGGTGTCAGAATTTTCTGTTCTATTGGAAATTATTATTTTGGGTTGACTGAAGTTAGCTGAAAACAGAATAGAGATAAAAAAAAAAGTCAATGTAAATTTAGGTGTATCCAGAAGAGAAAAGCAAATAGCTAGGTACCTGATGTGGGTACTCTCTGGGGGCACACCTGGGATCCCATGGTGAAAGCCACATAATGACCTTGCATTTATTTTTTAGTAATGGAGTTTGGGGCCATGTGTACTTCCAGTACGCAAACCAAGGGGATGCTCTCTGAGTGATAGGAGGGCTGAAACTGAGTCACCAAAGATTTATAATGAGGCCACTGTTCTAGGGAATGAACTCTTTGAAAAGAGAAGTGGTCTGACTTTAGGATCCACGTGTCCCATGTGGTACCTTCCAGCTCACCAGACCAAGAGAGCAGAAAGGGATTGAGACTAAAGTTCCACCAGGAACTAACAGAGTTCATGGTGCTGGGATACTTGGGGCCATATCTTTCAGAAACCCATGTAGGATGGTAGTAAATGAGTGGATGGGCATTTTGGATTTAGAAATTCAGAATACTGGTTTTGGGCACAACTGTCAAGGTGACTTCGCCATATATACTATCAGGCAAACCCAGCTATTTTTAGGAAAACTATATGATCTTGGTAAATACAGAGCTTCTCTTGCCTTGTTTGCCAACCAGATTTTTATGGCTATTGAAGATCACTGACACCTAGCCCCTTCTGCCAGCCAAATCCTCGATCTCCTTATATAGTTACAAGGTTGTTTACAGGTTCTACACACTAGTATGTAATTTAGTATATCGTTTCTGAAACTTCAGTGATTTGCATGTCATCTTTACAAATTTTGCTATATCAACACAATACCAAAGCACTCTGCTTATACTCTGTGTAGTCTGTAGAAGGTGCTGCCTATTGTAGCAGTAGCAACATCTGTGAAAGCACAGATTGCATGAGTCAATCAAAATTTTTCTAATACATATTGAACTAAATATAAAACTGTTAAAATAAAACAAAACTGATTGTGTCCCATGTAAAACACAACGTATTCCTCTATAGTACCTGGCCATACTTTGAAAACATTGATTTAGCACTTGGTTAAATGCTCCAAACACCCCGTAGCCTAGTTTGAGTCACATGGAGCTTAAAGAGAGTTAGTCCTTACTCTATTTCTATTTTTGCCTCTGCTTTACTCTGTGGTTTCAGAAACTGTGATGTTAACCTGCCTTTTTCGTTTTCATCAACAATTAATCTGGATCTAGTAATCCCACACCAGGGTATCTACCCTAGAGAAATGAAAATTTATGTTCATACAAAGACTGGTACCTGAATGTTTAGAGAAGCTCTATTTATAATAGCTTCAAACTGAAAACAACCCAATGTCTTTTCATGGGTTGAGTGGATAAACAATAGAATGCTACTGGACAATCAGAAGAAACAGACTTTTGATACATGCAACAACTTGAATGTATCTCAAAGGCATTATGTTGAATAAAAGAAGCCTGTCTTAAAGGTTACATGCTTACTGCCTCCATTTACACATTCTCAAAAAGGCAAGCTTATGGGATGCAAAACAGAGATTATGGGTGTGATAAGGGTATGATTATAAAGAGATAGCATGAGGAAATGTTTTTAGGATGTTGGAAATGTTTTATATCTTGTTTAGAGTGGTGGTTACAAAATCTATACATAAATTAAAGTTATACAACTTTACACCAAAATAAAAATAACTAATTTTACTGTATAATTAAAAAAAAACTGTGCCGACATTTAGGCTTGTCAAGGCCTGGAGAAACAGAGGAGCTGGTATGCCAGTTTTTGTACTATGTGCATTGGGTTATTTCCCTCTTGTCAACTGGGGTCATGCTTGGGCAGCAAACAACTCATGGGCAACCTCTGGGAGGTTGAAGGGAAAACCCAAATTAGTTAGCTGTCACCCTTGCTGGGAGCTCCAGGCAAAGATTCAGTGGGTGAGAAATCTTGGACCAAGGAGAAATGAATGTAAAAGAGATTCGAGGCCTATATGGTTATATAAACAGTAATGGCCAAATTATTCATGGTTTTTACGTAGCCACATTACCTTCATTCAGTTAACTCTAAAAAAGCAAATTCTTACTGAACCTTCAGAAGCAAACTATAGAAAGTACAAAGGAATTTCAGTTCCTTACTCCTGCATTATGTTCACATGGACTTCCCAGAAATGGCTGTCCTCTGCCTTTTCTCTACAAGTTCCCTCCTCCCCCACCAACATTTCACTGCTCCTTGCAGTCTCATCTAGAAGGCCAGGGATGTGAACACAACATACCAAGCACTGACAGGTCAGAACTCATTTGGTGGATGGAAACGAGTCCTTGGGGTCCTTTGTGATGGATGAAACACTGATACGTGCCCGTGTCCTTGATCTGAACATTGTGGAGTTGCAGGGCCCAGTTGTTCTGGTCAAAGCTTGCGCGGCCCTTATACTTGGGGTGAACATTTTGAGGATTCTCTTCGCCTTTGTATAGCTCATACAGAACCAGCTTATCCTGGTTCTGCCAAAATACTACCAGCTCATCAAGGCTTATGTTTTGAGAGTTTGTAAAGTGGCATGGAAGGTCTCCAGTCTCATTGAAATATGCCTGGCTTTTCATGGAAGCAGCACCTAAAAAAAAAAAAAAAGAAAAGAAAAGAATGGTGGAGATTGGGGATGAAGAAACAGGAGGGAAGAAAAACAACAACTCTATTTCTCTTTATACAATATCCAGATGCTACCTTGTCAGTAACGAGATTAAAGAAACACATATCGAGCTCTGGGACTGTGCATACATATTGCCATCTGGAGAGCGGAACTTTGTTCTCACTCTACTGCTAATTAAATGTCTGTGACTTTGTACGCATGTAACTGCTATGAGGCTCAGTTTCCTCATCTCTTTAATGGAGGGGTGAACTAACTGTTCTATGGATTTTTCTGGTACTATAGTTCTGTGAATTTAAACCCAGAACCAGCAGTTGGACAACTCATCTGTTATCTTCCTTTAAACTGAATTTTGATTCTTTTCGCTGTAGCTATTACAGGCCTCATTATTTCTATACTATCACCAAAAGCTTTCCCTTACCCTCTCTAATCCCTATTCCTTGGCCTGCTATGGCGAAAAGATTTCTGATAATGGTTACAATCTGATATCCCTCTTTTCATTATGCCTCAATAGTTGGGGATGACATTAAATAATATCTTCACTATTCAAATAGTTCCCTTTAGAGAGTTTCCCTCATGACTGCTGTTCTCAAGGCCAGCTCTCTTAAGGATACAAAACAGTTTGGAAATGACACAAATAGTCAACTGAAGCCTCTAATCTCAGTGACCTCTCTAAGCTCTTTCAGGGATCAGAAAGAGAACTGGGCAAATATGATGGTTGCTTTGGGATTGTGGTGGTCAAAGATCATTTAAGGTACATGAATGAAATGCTGGACATGAATGAACTGCTGGAAATGAATCATAGATGGGAAGGTGAGGATGTGCTTTTGGAGTATTGGGGAAACCCCGACTACCACTACCTTGCTCTTCCCAATATGCTTTGCCCTGGAAATTTTTACAACCCCTGGAGGAGACACTGGGAGAGTTCAGAGAAAGTCTTTATTCCCTGAGGGCATATTAGAGTTTATGGAAGGTATACGTTACAACTAATTTCTTAAATGACATTGATTGTTAGGGTTTTTGTAGGACCTATTCTGGGTCACACAATTAATTACTTGAGACTTGGCCAAGAAATTAGTGGTGGGTGAGAAGTGCAGGGTTAGGGGAAATATGCTGTTTCTTAGTTAATATAATGTTAGATGACACCTTGGGAAGGAAGTTAGGGTGGGTTCTGAATAAAGCTTCATCATTCAGGACTTCAGTAAAGGGATGTTGACATTAAGGATGAAAGAGGAGGAAGGTTGGTGAGAGAGATGAGAGGAGTTTCATTTGAGGTGCTCTTTGAGGGGTACTAGGGGAAGTTAAACCGATCTGACAAATAAGCTTCTCTTCTAAGAGGAAGTAGGACAAATACCAGTGACACACACTTGGAAAAATCAAACGTGGTGCAGAGTGGCCCAGTGAAAACAAATAATCAGGGGGTTCGGGGTGGTCTTGAACTCGAAGGGAAGAGGACTCCAGGTGTCCATGAGAGCTGGCACAAGTTTGAATCACTGCCTATTGCACTCTGCCTTCTAGAATCCTGTGAAGCACTTGAAAGTATAAAATGCAGTGTCTGTACAGGATACATCCCCATGGAGGGAGGTGAGAAAATATACCTGGGTACCTGAAATAGTGAAAAGAAGATCTAAGGAAAATATACCATGTTCAGTAATTACCTTACAAGGTAATCCTGAGCCTCTTGCTACATCTTTGCTAAACTCTGGATTATAGGGTAGGAGTGCCACCTACTATAAAAGCTTCTGGCATCTATCTCTGGGGAAATCAATTCTGGTTGTTTCAGTAACTTGCCATATGACATAGGGCAAATGACCTAATGGAGAAACCAAACACACAGTTGGAAATTCTGGCAGTTAATGGTCAATGTTGTTATTCAAGAGTCAACTGTACATTTTGGGCCTGGAAATGACATCACCTTTGACTTCTTTCTTCCTGATTTATAGTTGTTTCTCTGCTGTGCCTCACAGTACCTTCTCTCCTTCTTACCTACTCTCTTCACTCATAGACCCGTCCAACTTCTCTGACCTAGGACCCCTCTCCCAAAGATTATAAGGGCTTTTCTTCCACCCATCTAACTGCTTCCCTCCTCACCAACCAACCAAAAATGTGGTGTGTTATAAAGGCATCAGCATTACAGGGTAAGGTGGTGTAAGGGTTTCAGGGAAGCGGGGCTGGTCAGAAATGCAGAATCTCTGGCCCCACCCAGACCTACAGAATCAGAATCTGCATTTTAACAAGCGCTCCAGTTTGAGAAGCTGTGATAGAGAATGTCTATCTCTGTCTCCAGAGTGGAACAGAGGAGACAATGACAGGAACAGTTGGTTTCCAGCCAAACTCTCTCTTCTCACCTTGGGGTAGAAATCACTCTGAAGCTCATTCTGAGTGGAACTGAAAGTATTTCACAATTTATACTCCATAGCTCCTCACCAACCACTAGCTTCCATGACATCATTCAAAACTACTCATACTGATCCCTTCTCTGATGATTTGGGAAAGATTTAGCTCAATGTCTCTTTTTCCTAAGTGGCTTTAGTCCTCCACTGTTATATTCCCAGACCTCAGGCCATCCAGCTACTGGACTCACTAGGACTCCAGTGATTATAAGCATTGAGATTCTCTCCCTCCCCCAGCACTTGAGTAATAAATGTGGTCTGGGTCTAGTTGTAATTTGTGGCCATGATGATGTCAGGAGCTAGGCACTCAAGAATACGTCTAGATATCTCCCTAATCAGCTGGAAGAGCTTCTTTCAAATGAGAACTTCCTCATGAGACTTGAGGACTTCCTCAGCAATATACTGTTTAAATGTTACACAAAAACTAGAGTCTTCTAACCTCGTGAGATCTCTGACCCCACCTGGAACTTTAGTCTTCTGACCACTACCTGCCCACTATCTCAAATGCGTGTCTTACATATCCAAGGATCATTTATTCCTCATGTTACTATGCTTATCCGTACTCAAGAAATTTTCTCCTTTTATTAAACTTCCTTTAAATCTTTACTAGGCCCTCTGGAAGCCTCATCCCATTATAATAAACTCTTCTACATTCTCAAACTCGTCATTGAATGTTTCCCCCGAGGTTGTGCTTTCATTAAAATCTGGCCCAACTCAAAGGACACCACTTGCCCCAGCCACTGTTTGTTTTATCATACTTCATGGGGACCTAGAGCAACACCCTTCCCTTTGGAGGTGTCCCTGTCTCTCATGGCTGTTAGCTATTAATCATTTGTCACTACTTCCTTGCTCACTGAGCATTTTGACGTCAGATGCCAGGTCTTTCTTTCCAACCAATTATTACTATCAACTGGGTGATTTCAGCATGGATGAGTTCACCAACAATCTTGCCTCAAAGTTTTTCGACCTTCTCCACTTTGGAGATCTTCATCCACAGGCTGTTCCAGCAGCCCCTTTCCCATGACATAATCCTGAACCTTATCACCAAGAATAACTCCTCCCTGAGAATCTTAAACCTCAATGTACCTATCTCTGTCCACAAGATATCTTCCTCTAAGATTTGCTCTTGATTGCTTCACCTATATCTGTTCTTCACTTTCATCAAGACCTTGAGTCTATCCATTCTAGACCCTATAGTGCAGTGCTTTTCAAAAGAACCCTGCAATGATAGAAATGTTCTATATCTGTACTGACCAATATGGTAGTCACCAGCCACTGTACCCACTGAGCATTCGATATGTGGCTAATGTGACTGAGATCTGAAATTTTAATCTTATTTAATTTTAACTAATTTAAATAACCACATGTGGCTAGTGGCTATCATGTTGGACAGCACAGCAATAGTATATCTTTTCAATCATTCTCTCGCCAGTAGCTTCAATAAACTTACCCTTTTGTGCAGAATTCATCCCAACACTCTACTTTTGATCTACATATCTATTCTTACACCTGAATGCTTGAAAATTCCTGAAGTTACTTAATTATTCAGACCACAAGTCTGCAGTCTCCCATCCCATTTAACTTAGCCTCTGGGCTGCTCACCCTGCCTACCACCCTCTTCCTTCCTCATAGCAGTTACTTCGGCAGTTTCCTCTGCTACTGCTTATAGTTTATCTTTCTCTTATAGTCTAACTCCTTGGAAGAGTAAGCAGCAATTGCTGCCTTCATTCCCAGCCTCAGTCCCCCGACTCTCTGCTGAAACTTCCCTGGCAAATGTTATCAGTGACTTCTCACCACTGCCAAATCCAGAACACTTTTCAGACCTAATCTGACTTGACCACACTGTTGAATGTCACATCGTTGGCCATTTCTTCTTGAAACTCTATTCTTTCCTGGTAATTTTTCTCTGACCACTCCTTAAGTATCTTGAGTGCCTGCTCTTGACCTTCTCCTTACTTTCCACACTCTCTCTGGTGTTTCTCCTCTAACCCCATGGATTCAACTGCCAAATATAAATTAATACTTCACAGATGCTTATCTCCAGCCAATAACTTTCGCTAGAGTTCCAGCTAGCCAACTGCCTGCTGGATATTTCTACTTAGATAGCAATAGATATTCTCTTCCTTCCTTTCAAACTTTCCTGTCCTCTATCTTAGTGAATGGTTTCTCCACTTGCTGGTGTCAGTTACTATCTGAATCATATGTAGAAAACACCCAAACAGGGTCTGTCCAGGTGTGGCTGAAAATATCTAGCACTGCTACAGCCAGAGCTGAACTAATCACCAGGCCAGTTAGTCAAGGGCAGCCTCCATGCTGCTGCGACCAAACTGCAGGCTTGACTCACCTTCCCTGTCTGCCCCACACCAGGATGTGTGTGTGGGGGATGGCTTCTCTCTCAGTGCTGAGAATGGGGAAGGGATAGGACAGGAGAAACTAAAGGCACCCAGTCACACAATGTGTGGCAGGAACCTCCACCAACCCAGTAACATATAAAGAAACTGAAACTTAGAGAGGAAAAGCAAACAGGGAAGATCTGAGTTCTGTGAGGCTTGATGCTTTTAACATTTCTTTCCTTTCTTTGGGGGGTGGGGGTGAGGGGTGGGCTCCTTAAGAAAAGAAATGCAGAACTCAATTACAAAATACCACCCAACAGGAGGAGAATGTGATGGAGAGAAAATTAGCAGTAAAAAGAGGCGGTGGTCTTAACTTATTGTGGTTAAAATATCTTACTTTTGAAAATTTTACCCAAGCATAAGACACATGACCACAGTGGTAGAGCCCCTCATGGAGTCTTAGAGGAGCTTTGGATAGGACTTGTGCAAGTGGGAAACCCTGTAGCCCAGCTTTATGAGCTTCATGGTAAATCTGCTGCTGCTACTAGCGGAAGGTCACTGACGTCGGTAGTAGCAGGGCTGGGATTTTTGATCCTCCCAGTAAGCAGGGGCAAGTATGATCTACTGATGTGGGCTGGTGGGGAAAGCAGAGGAGGGGAGAAGGAAGGTAGAGAACATGAAAACCAATGCTTCTTAATGAAAGGAGGCTTTTAGAAGCCTATTAGCTATTTTTTAAAAGCCTGAAAATGCCAGAAATAAGAATAGAGAAGATCAGAAGAGAAAATATATGGAGTAAAAAAGTTAAGCTTCAGGGCGGTCAGAGTAGAGACCTTCCTCTGGCTCCTGGACAGGCCAGGCAAACCTACTTTGTATATCCGGTACCATGAATGTAGATGGCAGAGGAGGAGGATGCACAGAAGGTATCAGGCTCCATGCCAGGCCAGGCCTGCCATCAGCTGAGATACCTGTTCTTAATCATGATGTTTCCTTCTTCTCTAGAAAAGTCTTTTTTTTTTTTTTGCATGTAGTATTGTGCAGCGCTGGATAGAAAGTGAGTAAAACCCATCAAGGCTTGGGCTTGCAGTGGTCACACTCATCACGAGACAGTAAAGAATTCTAGGACTTTACAAAGCCAAAGGTTCTTACCAGAGAGCAGGAGAGCCATCACAAAGAGAGTCTTGCTCAGTTCCATAGTGCTAAAATTGAAAAGAAAAAATAAAACATGATTTAAAAATGAAACTAAAAACCAAAACATGACAAGCGAAGTTTTGGATTCACTTAGGACCATGTGTGTGACAGAGACCATGCTATGTGTTCACCACAGCCATTTCCTTTCCCCTCCTAGCTCCACAGATATGCCCTATTTCCCAACCTCCCTTTCAGTTAGGAGTGCCATGTGATTGGGTTCTTGCTGAGGGAATTGTGGGCAGAAGATATGGGTGTTGCTTTCAGACCTGTCACTAAAATGTCTCTCTTTTCTCCCTCTCCTACCGTCTTGAATGCAGAGGAACCAGAGGAGAAGTCCAAGAGCCTAGAGGATGGCAAAGCCTCCTGTGAAAGGAAGCTGGTTTGCTGAACAAATGAACAAAATAGCTCTCTCTAGCCCTTATTCATACTAGACTGTGACATGAGCAAAAAATAAACTTTTACTGTCTTAAGCTAATGAATTTTTTTGCATTGCTTGTTGCAGTAGTTAGTATAACTTATCTTGGCTAATATACTGGGTATGATGGGGGCGACGGGAAAATATTTATGTTTAGAAATGAACATTCCTTTGGTTTCTTTGTGGTTCTCAAACTTTAATGTGCTTAAAAAAACATATGAAAGAGTATGTTAAAGCAGTTTTCTGGGCCTCGTTAACAGAGATTCTGATTTAGTAATTTGGGTAAAACTCATGTCTAACAAACTCACAGATGATGATGATGATGCTGGTATAAAGACCCTGCTTTGAGAACCAAGCACAACAATATTCACTTAATCTAAATGACAGAGCCAAGGAAAATGACAGGCATCGCTTTATAACCTCTATCTTCTCTCTTTTCCTCTCCTTCCCTCCCTCTTTCTGCACTTACTTACTTATCCCAACTTAGACCAAAAAGGCTATAGACTTATAGGGAAGCATAGAATAAAGAAAGATGACCAACATTAAAAAGAGGTGGAAGGCAAATCAATTGCAGAAATAAAAAATGGAGTCAAGTACAAGGCCAAGGTAAATGCTTAGCACGGGAATCTGCCTACCCTGCATGGTGCAGATCATGAGTTTGGCTTGTAATTTTAATAGCCAAAGTGAAAGAAAAACTTAATTTATAGACCTGTCTATAAAATGAAAACAAATCAAGGCTTAGGAAAAGATGCACAACTAACTGTTCCCGATCCAACAGCAGAAATTTCTTCCTTGGGGGTGGATTGTCTAGAAGCCATCCCTGATCCCTAGACACCCTTCCTCTCTTCTCATAGCATTTAGCGCAAAGCTTTGGGCTAAAAGTATCTGTTATGTTTCTTCCCTTCTAGACTATAATCCCTTTCTTGTGATTAAAAAATTTTGACCACATCATATCTGCATATGGTACTAAATTTAAAAAGTAAAAGTGATAAGTAGTGGAAAGCAAGTCTCTCTCTCAACCTTGTCCCCTAGCTGTCTGGTTTTCCCTAGACATAACTGGAGTGACCACTGTTACCTATTGATAGTTTCTTGCCTCTACTTGTATTAGTTTAGGTAAAACAAAATGAAAACATAGACCTATTTTTTTTTTCATTTTATTTTTAAACACCCAGTAGCACAGTATACACACTTTTGCACACTTACCACTACCTTGGAGATTAGGATATTAGAATATCCTAATTCTAACAGTTGCATATTATTCTGTTGTATTCTATTGGATAGCAATAATTTATTTTGCCAGCACCTATATTTTCCAATCTTTTGCTGCAGTGATAAACCTAATCATATGTCAAATCACATACCTGAGAGTAAGCTATCTTCCTAGAAGTACAATGGCCTGACTAAAGGGTCAAAAGAGTATCACAATTTTAATTTTCACAGATGTTGAAAATTTGTTCTCTCCCAAGACTATGTTTATGCTCCTACCAACAAAACATGAGTGTACTTATTTTCATGCCAGTTTTGCCAACATAGTATGGTTTTTTAATTTGTAATCTTTACCAATAGAGAAGGTTAAAATGATACCTCATTGTAATTTTTAAAAATTATTTTTCATTGTGGTATAATAATTTGGGTAAATTTGGGTAATTTACCATGTTACTAATTTGTTCAGTGTACAGTGGCACGAAGTGCACCACATTGTTGTGCAATCATCGCCACCATCCCTCTCCAGGACGCTTTTCATCTTCCACAACTGAAACTCTATACCCAGTAAACAAAAACTCTCCATTCTCCTCTCCTCCTCTCAGCCCCTGTCTCCAGAAATTTGACTACTCTAGGTACCTCATATAAAGTGAAATCATACAGTATTTGTCTTCTGTGATTGGCTTATTTCATTTAGCATAATGTATTCAAGGTTCATCCATGTCATAGCATGTGTCAGAATTTCCTTTCTTCTAAAGGCTGAATAATATTCTATATTAGATAGATAGATAGATAGATAGATAGATAGATAGATAGATAGATGATAGATAGATAGATAGATAGATAGATAGATAGATAGATAGATAGATAGCTATATGCCACACTTTATTTATCCATTAATCTATGGATGGACATTTGAGTTGCTTCTGCCTTTTGGCTATTGTGAATAATGCTCTATGAACATGGACATACAAATATATCTTCGAGACCCTGCTCTCATTTCTTTTGGGCATATATTCAGAAGTGGAATTACTGGATCATGTAGTAATTCTATTTTTATTTTATTTTATTTATTTTTTAATTTAAATTTTTATTTTGGTGACATTGGTTAACAAAATCCAGTAAGTTTCAGGCATACAATTCAACAGGCATATATATACATTGAGTAATTCTATTTTTTTTTCCGAAAAACTGCATACTGTTTTTCATAGCAGCTGCACCATTTTATACTCCCATTAAAAGTGCACAAGAGTTGCAATTTCACCAGGTCTTTGCCAACACTTGTTATTTTGGGTTTTGTGTGTGTGTGTGTGTCTGTGTGTGTGTGTGTGTGTGTGTGATCCCAGTGGGTGTGAGGTAGTTCTCACTGTAGTTTTAAAATGAATTTCTTTTATTATGAGTATCGGCATCTTTTCAAATGTATAAAAAATTAGACTTCCTGTTCCATGACTGTCTATACATTTCCGTTACCTATTTTTAATTTAGGTCTTTGGCCTTTTTCTTATTTCCCTTATCGATTTGTGGAATCTCTTTTGTTTTTAAAAAGTAGTGCTAATTAGTACCTAATTTGAAAATTTGTGTGTTATGATAATGAGTTGCAAATATATTCAGCCATTAAAGCACAAAATGAGTGTTCAACATATGAACCTCATATTGCTCCTAATTGCTCTCCCTTTCCTTTCCAGTGATTTTAATAGATTTCAGATCTTGGGCATTATCTGTTGGGCCAAAGCTGACACCTGGTAAGCTGACACAGCCTGGAAAGAGAGTTCATTGTCTGATTCCTGTGCACTCCCTCATATTAAATTGCTGCCAGAATTCTATTTATCATAGAATCTCAGGAACCCTTTGAGTCTGATCTCTCACCTAATACAGGAATGTTTCATTGTTTGTGAAGCAAAAAGCAGTATCGACCTAATTAAAGATTTTTTTCCCCTGGTATGATGTATTGAACAGGGGCATAAATTTAAGAAATCACCTTGAATTCAATGAAATTATTGCATGAAATTATTGCAATGAAATTATTACATGAAATTATTGGCCCTAGGAAATCTTTGATAAATGGTCTGTCCTTGTAATTCACACAGTGAGGAAGAGCGCTGGGTATAAGAAG